ATGCAGAACCTTACATAGACCAAGAGACAATCACTTGAACAGAGCAAGGGATATTGTATAACTTAAGATCAGGAAAGGTATGTGCCTGGATTGTATCTTTAACCATATTTATTCAATCTGTATGCTGAACAAATAACCTGAGAAGCTGAACTATATGAAAAAGAATGTAAAATCAGGATTGAAGAAAGGCTTATTAACAATCTGCTATATGTGAACTCTTGGTGTGGCACTATGGGATCAGCACTAGACTCAGAGCCACAAAGTCAGCACTTCAAACCCACCAGCTGCTCTTCGTAAACCCTATACAGGGTTGAAATGAGTTGGAGTCAGCTTGATGGCACTTAACAACAACAACAACATATATAGATGGGGAGTTTTGATGTGGTACTGGACCACAATGTCAGTTTGAACCATACGGTTGGCAGTTCAAACTTACCAGATGCTCCTCAGAAACCCTATACAGGGACTCGATGAGTCAGAACCAACTCAACGACACTTAAAAAACAACAGCATATTTATATGGGAGTCCAGGTGTGGTGCTGTAGGATAAGCATTGAACTGCTGACCCACCAGCTGTTCCTAAGAAATCCTATGCCAGAGTCGCTATGAATTGGAACCAACTCAATAGCACCTAACAACAACAACAATATATAATGACATACTTTGCTTCCTGAAAGCCAAAAGGATTTGAAGTACTTACCGATGAAGATAAAAAACCACTGTCTCAGTATGGAGGCTCAGCATAAAGAAAACAAAAATCCCCACAACTGGACCAATAAACAACACAATGATAAGCAGAAAAGATGATCAAGAATTCCATTTTACTTGGATCTACAATCAATGCTCATTGAAGCAGCTGTCAAGAAATCAAATGATGGGCTCCATTGAGTAAAATTTCTGCAAAAGACCTTCATAAAGTATTAACAAGCAAAGCTGTCATTGTGAGAACTAAGGTGCACCTGACTCATCAGTTTTATGTTCTACAATTCAGACACATTTTTCATTTTTCATCTTATTGATCACAATGCCCTCAAAGTATTCTACTTACTCCCTGTGTTTCTTCTTTCCATTCCTCCTTCTTTCTTAACTCTTCTGAACTTTGTTCTTGGGTAAATGTTGCCCTTTTGATCTCAAATGATTGATTATTCTCAGGTGTGCATCCCTCACTAGTGTTGTTGTTCCCCTTATAGACCTATCTATATGTCTATATGTTTGGATCGGTTTGAGCCACAAGGTTGACAGTTCAAGATCACCAGCCACTCCTCGGAAATTCTATACAGGGTCGTTATGGTTTGGAACCAACTGACAGCACTTAACAACAACAATACATTTGGTTGAAAATTAAACTACCTGAGTGAGTTCAGTTCCAAACCTGATGGGTAGTCAAGGACCATAATCTCTTTTGTTCCTCTAGTCTCTATCTGATCAGTAAATCTGGTCTTTTTTATCAAGCCATGGTATTTTCAATCACCCCATATGCATAAGAAAGTTGAACAATGAATAAGAAGACCTAAGAATTGATGCCGTAGAATTATGGCATTGGTGAAGACTATTGACTATACCATGGACTCCAGAGGAGCTAAAAAATCTGTCTTGGAGGAAGTTCAGCCAGAATACTCCTTAGAAGTAAGGATGACAAGAATTCATCTCACGTACTTTGGACATGATCTCAGGAGGGACTAGTCCCTGGAGAAGGACATCATGCTTGGAAAAACAGACAGCATAAAAGAGGAAGACCCTCAATGAGATGGATTGACACAGTGGGTACTACTATGGGTTCAAGCATGTGAGGATGGTGCAAGACTGGGCAGTGTTTTACTCAGTTGTATGAGAGGGCTTCAAAAATTAATGGACCAAAGTCAACCCTGCTATGAAAAACATCCTAAAGGGAGTTCTGTGGACTGAGAACCAGCAAGAACACACAACAACTACAGAATGATGTACACGGGAGCATTAACCTGAACTTAGTCGACAAATGAAAGAGTCAAGCACAGAATAAAATTATAAGAACAGAGGATCTGGGAGTTCAGTCTTTGATTCAAACCATTTCCATGTGGAAAAAGGTAAACACCGAAGAAGAGAGATCCAGGTGGTGGGAAAGTCAGGTAGATTACTGGATAAAATAGACTATCTTAAATGGAGGGAAGAACTAATGGAATATAAGGTAACCACAATGGGGTGGGAGTGGGGGTAGGGGGTTTATTTTGGGTGTTGGGGAGGGCAATACAAGAAGGGGGGAGGAGGTAGAAGAACAAGATAGATAGGGGAACACTGAGACAGGTTTGCATGGTCTAGTGGGACAGAGGTAAATAGTGATGCATACTCAACCTTGGAACAACAGGGCTCTGGGATACAGGGATCTAGGTATAGCTAGAAGAGAGTAAATAATACTAAAATCCTTGACTGCCTTATGAATATTATTTTCCCTTGCCTACTATTGTAAAATAGACACTTGAGTGGGATATAAAGGAATGTTGGGAAACATGATTAGAGAAAACTTGTAAGCCCGTCTTCAGCCTATAACTGATTGGAATACCTCAAAGGGGTTCTACAACTTGCCCACTGAAATAGCCTTGTACAAAGCCTTTGCAGAGTATAGGACCTTAGGTGGAATCCTGAGTCCCATCCACAACCTTGTGAGGTGAGACATTCCCACTAGAAAGGACAAGCACACTGGAACAGCTACAGTGACAGAAGATAACATCTTCATGATGAACCTGACCTATACTCAGAGCGGTAGTTACTCCAACTTAAATTGACCAACTTAAAGTGTTTTCCCAAACAATTAATCTTTACAAGAACAGACAGCCTTGTCTGTCTCCAGAGGAGTGGATGGTGGGTTTGAACTACTGACCTTGCAATTAGCAGCCTAACACCTAACCACAGCACCACTAGGGGTCCTTCTGCTGGCACATGTTGTTGTTAAATGCTCTTGAGTTGGTTCCAACTCATAGTGACCCTGTAGTTAGCAGTCTAGTGCTGAACCTACAGCACCATATTTACTAGAGTCCTTGGAGTGATTGGAAGAGCAATGATAGTTATAGTCACATCTGTATTAAACAGCTCCTATGGGTGTATGTAAGGAGCTCTGGTAGCGTAGTGGTTACGAATCGGGCTGCGAACCTTAAGGTCAGCGGTTCGAAACTACCAGCAGCTCCGCGGGAGACAGATGAGGCTTTCTACTCCCGTAAAGATTTACACCCTCGGAAACCTGTACAGGGTCGCTATGGGTCGGAACCGACTCGATGGCACTTAACAACAACAACAACAATGGGTGTATGTCTGCTGGCATAGAGGTGTTTAACAAATACTTGACAAAATTGACATTGCTCTTCCCAATCACTCTAGTAAATATTTTAGACTATTCCTGTGTCACAGAAAAAATATATAATGTCCAGATTTTGTTGATACATTTACAACTGGAAAAAAATCACATCCACCAGGGGGCGCCATGAAACCTCTCTTTAGATCCTATTAAGCCTATGTAAGATTGCTGGTTTCTAAATTTATTTTGTTTTCACTCAAAAGTGGTTCCATATATTTATTTTTTTATAAACAGTACAATTGTGATATAAATTTCAATTATTTGCATAAAAATAAATTTGCATTCACCTGATTGTAAAGCATGTATGTCATATAATATTAACATTTCCTGGAGAACAATACTTGGCAGCATTTAACTACAACCATAAGAGAGGATATTAACATCTTAAATAAAAATACTTCTGGGATCAAGATTTTAAGAATTCATGATGCAGAATGGAGTTTGGGTACAGAGAGAAGTAAAAAGCACACTTGGTTACTCCCGACTTCTGTTCTAGATTGTCTTATAACTATACTTTTGATTATTAACTATATCTCATTTATTGTTGTCTTTCTAGTTGCAACTGACACTGCTTACACACATAATCTCCTTTACTGCTCAGATTACCCTTCTGGATAAAGGACTAATTTTTATTCCCGTTTAAACTCAGGAAGTTGAGGCTTAAGGAAGTTAAATCCTGAGTCAAGCAGGGTCAAGGAGCCGCCAATAGAAAGAGGTGGGGCTGGGATTCAAACCCTGGAGCTCTTAACCCAGCTTTCTAGTTCATCTTTCACATATTAGTCCCCAAATTCCTTCCCATCACCCTTATTTCATGCCATCATAATTAGAAGGGATCTGTCACTCAAAATATGGAACAATAATTTGGAAAGGAGAATTCTTCCATCCTTGTTTCAAATTATTTGTTCATAAAGTTTAAATCAAATTATTCAACTTTGCTTAGCAATAAGGCAGATGTAAACTCATATCTCTTATTATTTTTCAGGGAGGTAGTGAATTTTAAAGAGATAATAAATGTAAACTCTGAAGGAAGCCCATATGGTCTTGTAACAATAAGCCCAACATTGATGTCTTTTTTCTCTAAGTTCCTTGCTTATTTTAAAATTTGTGTTTGTGTATGTGTGTGCCCCCTGAAGCTCCAACTGTACCTAGAGAATAGTAAACATACAGTACCCAATACTGAAGGAAAGGCAGTTCTATAAAGTGGTATAAAGTCGAGATCTTCTAGTAAACTTGGTAGCTTTCCTTTCAAAAGTTCTGTTCACTGTTGCTGCATGACATATGCCAGATTCCCTACTACCCCTCCCCATTCCCACTTCCTTCTTAAAACATGCTCTCAGGGTTGTCTGTAGTGCTCACATCCAGAGGAAAATGTCTTATTTTAAAAAGCAGTGAAAAACACTGCATTCCTTTGGCACAGGATGAAGACCAACTCAGCTCTTCAGTTGTTGATCATTGTCTATTGTTCTCTGAACAGTAAACTACTGTTTCACACTGAGATTGTCTGGCTGCTGTGATATCCAAATCCCTGGCTCCTCATGAATATGATGTGAAAGGCTCTGTCTGACCCAGAAAGTGGTAGGTAATCTCAAAAAAAAAAAAAATCAGCCAGATAGAAAGGTTTGGAAATTAAAGGTTTTATGTAATTTTACACTCTTGAACTCTCCTGCAGGTTCTCAGCAGGTCAAAATGGGTTCTCGGGTGTGTGGCGGCTGCTTAAGTGGTCTGCTGATTCCACTTGCACTTTGGAGTATAATTGTTAACATATTACTGTATTTCCCAAATGGCCAAGCTTCCTATGCATCCAGCAATAAACTCACCAACTTCGTGTGGTACTTTGAAGGAATCTGTTTCTCAGGTGTCATGGTAAGTGTGACTTTGGATCACATAAGGGGACTTTTATTTGGAATTGCCTTGTTCCTAGTAAAAATAATAAATGATGAAGAAAATATTCTGTTAGTCCTGGGTTTGTGGTTTGAAGGGTGGATGGAGCGAGGATAGTTTGTTAGAACTTGAGAGGTAGATTTGTTTTCTATAAGCTGCACATTTATGTAGTTTCAGCATTGCAGGAAATTAGTCCTGATGAAAGCTTGTGGGACACTGGTCTAGAGAAATGTGATGTCCTCAGGAAGCCTGTGCATGAATTAAAACTATGTAATCTATGTTGTTGTTAAATACTGTCGAGTCAGTTCCAACTCACAGCGACCCTGGATAGGGCTTCCAAGGAGCCACTGGTGAGTTTGAAGTGTTTACCTTGTGATGTACTGCATTAATCTCCACTGGCACTGCTTTATTCCAGATAAGATTTTCTATCAGTACTCCTAATTTCTCTAGTTTAAGGGATGGTTAGGATGATATGGAATAAAACACAGACTTGGACATTCAGATTAACCGACACTTAAATCTAAACTCTTGTCATTTGTGTTATAAGAACTTGAGCCAGTTGATCCTTATCTTTGAGTCTCAGTTTACTCAAAATGCAGATCCTGATATTTAATTTGCAGAATAATTGTGGGAATTAAATAGAATCACATATTTAAAGTGCTTGGAGTCCTGGTGTAGTTCTGTAGGATGAGCAGTGAACCACAAGGTCGGTTTGAATTGTATGATTGGTGGTTCAAACTCACCAGCCACTCTTTGAAAACTCTATACAGGGTCCCTATGAGTGTGGACCTCAATAGCACTTAACAACAACAACAAAATGTTTAGGATAGAGTGAGTCCTATTGTGATTTTAAATAGTTGAAGGATGAGTCATACCATCAGTATACATTATACCTCTAATAATGGAGGATGTTTTTAAAAAGCTAAATCAGATTACCAATAGTAACAATCTATTAATGTTTTTCTGATGAAGGTGTGCTCTTTAAAAATAGATAAACTGATAACAAACCATGTTGGCAACTCAGAGGAAAAGATGCTTTCCCTGATCATTTCTAAAAACAATACTGTAAGCTTACAATCGTGTCAATAATGTAGAAGGAATTTAATTGTAATCTATTACTCTATCTTTGTGGGTACTTAATTATTATAATATCTCAATCACTACGTTGTAAAGCAGTTTTCATTTACATTCTGGTTTTGCATGTGAAATTAGTAAACTTTAAAATGTTAATACCCATCTTTATTGAAGTTGCTGTGTTGCAAAACTGTTAGTGATACTATAAATAATTGTAAACCTTTGGCGAAAAGTTGGGTGCTCTATATCAAGATTTGTGAAAATGCTTGCTACCTATGACTTGGTAATATTAAATGTCATATTTCAGTCTAAGGAAATTATCCAAAACATGGAAAGAGTTAAATGAACAGATATTTGTGGCAGCATTATTTGTAGCTAGAAGAAATGGCAAAATAAATTGCAAATTTATTTATCTAGCAAAGAAATGGCAAAATAAATGTGGTACATTCACTTCACATGGTAATGAAAATTGGAATTGTGATGCTGTAAAAACATGGAAATGTGTATTATTAACTACTAAGTAAAAAAAAGATACAACAAAAGTGTGTGTAAATTATTACTGCAACTATGAAAAAATACACTTAGATGAGAGAAATATGAAAGCAAAAGCATGAAAGGGTTGTGGAATCATGGGTAATTTTCTTCCAGTATTCCCGAGTCCTCATAGTGAAATTATATTTTAAAGTAAAACAAAACAAATAGCAGTTTATTTTTCAGCAAAGGTGATACATACACAAAAAGAAGCATTCTAGAATATGAGTTTAATTATTTCTACCAATAGTGTAATCAAGCTTTTTATTATAATTTGGCCACGTTTCCTCATTGTTTTCAATATGTAGTTGTAACAAATGGAGGAGATGCAAGTAATAAATAAGGTTAAACTTGAATTTATTAAAATATGTGATCATTAATGTCATTGAAAGGACTCTTTTGCTGACATTCCATGAAGGCAATTTAAAACTGGGGATAAAACTGCAAACTACAAAGTCGGCATACACTGTGGGAACCTTATACAGGGTTGCTATGCATCAAAACCAACTTAATGGCACTTAATAAAAACTACAGTTTTTTAATACCCAAAATTTCTTGAAAAACATTATTGTAATTTCACCCAATCCTTGTAAGAGGAAAAAGAAGGATAAAGGAATATAGAAACTACAAAGGTAGGTTATAAACAGTAAAATAACTGTGAACTCAGCTTAGAAATTCAGTACTGAATACTGAGGGCAAAGGACCAATGGTGAATATGCCATAAGCAATCCATATCTGTCCAAACTGGGAATTATAATAGTAAAGAAATTTAAGTTCTCTCTAGAGTTTGAGAATTTTGCCAAAGTTACCAAAACAGTAAGTAGAATGCACTGAATTTGGTCATTTTATAGGCTTGATACAGATAAAAATACATTAGAATATTTGGACCTGAGGTGATTTCAATATATTGGGGAAGTTGAACTTACTTTACTTTAAATTTTACAGATGTGGTTTCAGATTTAGACTCCCTGGGTAGTGCATATGGTTAATGTGCTCAGATGCTTACTGAGAAGTAGAAGGTTTGAGTCCACCCAGAGGTATCTCAGAAGAAAGGCATGGCAATCTGCTTCCAAAAAACCAGGTCCTAAAAGTGGATTG